CCCCCGTGCCCACTGTGACATGCCCTCTGGCTTCTCCTCGGCCCAGTTTGCTCTGCGACCAGAAGTGGGTGCACAAAGTTCTCCCCACAAAAGGCATCAGGGAAGAAGCATGACTTTAGCCGTCCCGAGGGGCGGTGCAAGGAGCGCCAGCAGCCAGAGCGTGAGGCGCCCGGCCCGGCGGCTCTGGGAGTGATCAGAGGCCACGGAAGCCTCTGTCGCGGCATTATTTACGGCGGGACGCATGGCAGACAAGCTAATGAGGGGTGACAGGGCTGGGGGCTTACACTGCACAGCCGCATGTGCAGCTGTTAGAAATTATGCTGCAAGGACTATTCCGTGCTTCCAGTATCACGTCTGGTGAGAAAACTCAGACAAAAACTGTAGAGAAGGGGTGATGTCAACCTTATAAAACACGTAGCTATGCATGCCTCACACACATACACACACAGGTACACACGTGCAAACACGTATGCACCCAAGGAAGAGGGCAGGAAAGACAGCTCCCCTTTTGTAGCCAATACGGCTGGGCAGCAGCTCGGACACGCTGGGCTTTCACTCACTGCCCCTCCTTCACGCCCCAACGTTCCCAGGGGCGCCCTCTTTAACGTCTGCACTCAGGGGGGGAAACGTGATTCTTACAAAATCAAACCCCCAAAGAGGGTTCGCGTCTCCGGAAAGATGCCGGTGGCTGGTCACCGTGGCTGCAGGGACTTTTCAAAATCACCAGCAAACAGCGCTTTTACAAAGTAATCCTGGAGCTTCGCTTTTCTCATCTTTCAAAGTCACTTCCCCACAGCAGCCCTCCTCCGTCAACCCTCCTGCAGGCCCAGCTTGCACCGGGCGGGTTGCGGCCCGTCAGCATGTGTGTACCGCGCGGTCACTGTCCCCCGCTCGGCGCCTGGCCCAGGAGAGGCGCTCTGTAATGTCTGCGAAAGGGCAGGAGGGCCCCATGCCTCTGGCTCCATCCTCCCTGCCTCTCACACTGCGGGGCTCCTGCCCAGCCCTGCGCTGGCATCTCTCTGGAGACCATCCTGGCAGGCGAGGGCG